CAAATACATTTTTGAGTACCAAATGATGAGTACCAAATACATTTTTGAGTACCAAATGATGAGTACCAAATACATTTTTGAGTACCAAATGATGAGTACCAAATACATTTTTCCCATAAGTGAGTCACAAGGCAGCCAACACCAACACATTCTAGCTTGTGCATTGAGTATCAATCAAACGCTGAGTACCGGGACAAAAATTTTGTGTCAAACTGCGTTGAGTACCACATTTGATGAGTTTCAAAGCAGTAAAAAAAAACTCTGGTCAAGTTGGGTTTCATTCCAATCCAACAGAAAGGTAATAGTACTTATATCTAGGTCCATTTTCAATCATCATGCAGTTCATTCATTTGGTTTATAGGTTGCTTAACTCAGTGGGTAGTTTACAACTGAAAAGTAAAAAGCTGCAAAAGACTGCTTTTAGGTGTGTTTCCCCAAACACAAGACTGGGTCTTACGTTAATTTTTGCTCCAAAAAACACATTAGGGCTTATTTTCTGGTTAGGTCTTATTTTTCATGGAAATAAGGCAGGGGTCCCCAACCACCGGTCTGCGGACCGGTACCGGTCCGTGGAACAAATCCTACCGGGCCGCTGGTTTGCTGGGCGCCGCCATCTTGTTTTGATGAAAAAGTGCTTCCGGTGAGCTTTTCCGGGTAAAAAGCTCACCGGAAGCACTTTTTCATCAAAACAAGATGGCGGCACCCAGCTGATGCCGGTACCGGGCCGCGGCATAAAAAAGGTTGGGGACCACTGAAATAAGGTACTAAATGCATCTGTCTAGCTGACTATCTTAACCGGAGTTTATTTTTTGGGGTAGGGCTTATATTATAAGCACCCTGAATCATCCTTATGCTAGGGCTTATTTTCCAGTTGGGTCTTATTTTTGGGGAAATATGGAATATACCTCTAACGGGGGGAAAATACTTCGAGGATCAAAGAACACCACATTTCATTCATTCTCCTTCTATAAGTTGCTGAATCTCTCTAATCCCCTACAGAAAAGGAACATTTTATAGCACAAAGTTTTGAAATTATTGTTAGACTTTGGGCCTGACTTTTTTCATCCTTGGGTCTATTGTTTTTAGGATAGCAATCTATTTTAAGTATTATGTTTTGGAAAAAAATTCATTGCAGTAGCTGCTGGATATCAGTCTCTCTTGAGTGCTCTGGGAGCTAAACGTATGTGGCTCATGAGCCATATGTTGGTGTTATGTATGTATGTATGTGTACACAGATCCCCTTCTGTCCCAGAGTACAGGTACTAAAAAGACTATGTTCATACAACACAGACAATTGTTGTTGTCAGGATTCTGGCACTTAACCCCATTTAAATCATGAGTCTTGAGCCAAACTTCCAAAACTTCAAAAGGATTTATTGGGAGTTAAAAGGTCCAGCATTGCCTGGGTGTAGCCAACTCTGAGACACATCCTTCATTGTCACTCTTGACCCTGGTTTTCCCCCACCCCCTGGGTGTATCATAATTCATATTCTCCAATGGGACACATCCATAGCCAAGAGTCATCAATCATGCTCTCCAGTTAGAAGTGCCATAGGTTCGCCATCACGGTGCTATGACAACATATGGGAGCCACAGGTTACCTCAGCCCCATTTTAGCCTAGGCTAGCATATAATGTGACCCTAACTAGAGAATCTCACCTCTTCTAGGTCCCCAGGGTAAGGGGCTGGATCCCAGGCGACCAGAGTTCCCTGGGCATAGAGTTGTCCATCTAGAAAATGCTGCTCTGGAGAAGTCATCAGCTGTGAAGAAGAACGTAGATGGGAACACTATTTTTAACCACAAATTCAAGCCAACCATGCAGCTGCAAGGGAAACAATCTAGCGGTGTTCCTAGCAAGCCTGGCCAATTCATCAGAATAAGAGTACTTCCCCTTCATTTAGAAAGAACTCAGAAACAATCAGAGGAATATCCTACATTTTACAAGAATTGCCCAGAAGTACCTTATATATTTGCATATGGGGAGAGCCCCAAATGTCAGATTCAACTTGTTTTGTGGTATGCATTTTTTTTCTATCCTTTTATATTTGTGTTGCTCCAGTCTAAGCGATTCTCTCTAATGACTTTGGTTGAGAATGATAAATGCAGACATCTTCAAGCTGCACTTTGCAGATTTGCTGGCAGTGATTTGGTGACAGTGATTTGGCTAGGTCCAAATTACACAGAGTGTCATTCAACTTCTCTGGAACTCCTTAAAGGGAACTTAATAATTAATACATATTCCTGAAGGCTGCTACTCTGATCATTTTCTGGCCTTGATATTTGAGTTTGAACTAAGGGTTGGATTTCAGGCATATTCAGCAAAATGCCAGGCAGGAATAGAGAAGATATCTCAGAACTATCTCCCAACAATCTAGCTTATATTGCAAAACATATTGCAAAACCACTGCTACAATTTCAGAGGAGAGGATTTTTTCTCAGCGTAATAATGATCAAAGATCTTTCTCTGACCTGCAGCTAGTGAAGGATGTCAAAATATGGTACAGGTAGTCAGATAACAGATAATCAGAGTTGGAAGGGACCTTGTAGGTCATCTAGTCCAACCCCCTGCCCAAGCGGGAGACCCTACACCATTTCTGACAAATGGCAGTCCAATCTCTTCTTGAAAGTCTCAACTGATGGCGCTCCCACAACTTCCGAGGGCAAGCTGTTCCATTGGTTGATTGTTCTCACTGTCAGAAAGTTTCTCCTTATTTCCAGGTTAAATCTCTCCTTGTTCAGTTTCCATCCATTATTCCTTCTCTGGCCTACAGGCACTTTAGAAAATAGCTTGACCCCTTCCTCTCTGGGGCAGCCCCTCAAATATTGGAAGACTGCTATCATGTTTTTTTCATTTTGTTTGTTTGTTTGTTTTTTATTTCTCTTATATGTATCCATGTATTCATAACTATGTTTTTACTTATACCTATTATCTTGTAAGCAATTGACAAACCAAAGAAAATAAAAAATAAAAAAATGTCTCCTCTCGTTCTTCTCTTCACTAGACTAGCCAAGCCCAGTTCCTGCAACCGTTCATTGTATGTTTTAGCCTCCAGTCCCCTAATCATCCTGGTTGCTCTTCTCTGTACTTTTTCTAGAGTCTCAACATCTTTTTTATAATGTGGTGAACAAAACCGGATGCAGTACTCTAGGTGTGGTCTTACTAAAGCTTTATAGAGTGGTATTAGTACTTCCCTTGACCTTGATTGTATCCCTCTGTTTATACAACTTCGGATTGCATTAGCTTTTTTGGCTGCTGCTGCACACTGCTGGCTCATATTTAGCTGGTTGTCCACTAAGACTCTAACTTACAACCCACAACGGGGTCCACTGTTGTTAAGTGAGACTTTTGTTAAGTGAGTTTTGCCCCATTTTATGACTTTTCTTGCCACAGTTGTTATGTGACTCATTGCAGCTGATAAGTTAGTAACCCAGGTGTTAAAGTGAATCTGGCTTCCCCATTGACTTTGCTTGTCAGAAGGTCATAAAAGGTGAATCACATGATCTTGGGACACAGCAACGGTCATAAATATGAACCAGTTGCCAAGCATCTGAATTTTAATCACATGACCATGTAGCAAAGGTCGTAACTGTGAAAAACGGTCATAAAGTCACTATTTTGAGTGCCGTTGTAACTTTCAACAGTCATTAAATGAACTGTTGTAAGTCGAGGACTACTTGTACTAGCATCAGCAGCAAACATTATCAATAAAATATAAAGTATCTCAATTATGATAGAAGTTAAAGGTATTCATAGGAACCCTGTGCAGTTATCTTTGCCATTAAATTGGAACTAATACTGTAATAAATCAATTAATTGAGGGTGGAGTTGAGTTTCATTTTTTTCAAAAAAAATTGTATTAAGAATTATCAATGGAAAGAATAAAAGTCAATATAAAATACACAAAATAACAAAAAAGTGGAAGACAAAAGAAAAGGACAAGGAAAAGAAAGAAGAAAAAGTAATGTTTTTCCTTCTTCCCAAAAAGTAAAAAACAATTTTAGTAGCTTATCCCCATTTCTAAATACAAAGTGAATGTTGAGTTTCAGAAGTCCACCCTTGATATGTGAGACATAAACATCACCAATGACCGCTCACAAATATATTAAATTATAAGAGGTTTGGGTGCAATGGTGGCAATGGTTCCATGATCAAAGCCCTGAGCCTTTTTAACACATGTATGTGTGTAATGCATGTACAAATGGGCAGGGTTTTGATCATTGCAGTCCCAGCTGCTATCATGACTTTTCTGACTGCATGGATGGATACCTTTGGATATGGAAATTTTAGCCTCTGTTACTTAATTAAAGATTGTGATTATATTGTGATTATATTCTATTTTTCCCCAACAGCCAGATCAAGATTTATGTTAAAAATGCATAAGGGAAAATTAGCAGCGGTGGGTTTGAAGTATCAGTTGATGTAGGTTAACTCCAGGTGATGCAATCTTTACAGTGATGGAGAATCCCTGCCAGGTTTCGGAAGGTTTTATAACCCCACAGTAATCCCAGTAACCTAGCAACCAGATCCCAAACACAAGCCTCGCAGGGCTCTCCTTATATCAGCTAATAAAACAAATGTAGGTAAGAGAATGATACCTTTCAATCCCAAATGTCCTTTTTTCAGGAGGCAACTGGACTTTTTTTGTTTTCTTTTTTAAAGACATTTTGCTTCTCATCTAAAAAGCCTCTTCAGCTGTGACATGATAGGGGAATGGAAGGATTTATATTCCTTGCAGACAGCTGGTAATTTGCATCCTTTTAGGGGGTCATTGAAGCCCTTGGAGGTTTATCTGTGTCCTCAGGGTCACCTGAGTAGTGCTCCTGGTTCATCCAATTTGGGATGAACACCCTTTGAATCAGTGATGGGATTCAATTTTTTTTACTACCGGTTCTGTGGGCGTGGCTTGGTGGCCGTGGCAGGAGAAGGATACTGTAAAATCTCCAGTCAGAGGTGGTATTTGCTGGTTCTTCGAACTACTCAAAATTTCTGCTACTGGTTCTCCAGAACTGGTCAGAACCTGCTGAATACCACCTCTGCTTTGAATGCTGTGGGAGTAGGAATGGATTTCCAGAGGAAAAAGGGTACAGGAACCAGGAGCACTACTCAGGTGATCCTGAGGACACAGATAAACCTCCAAGGGCTTCAATGACCCTCTAAAAGGATGCAAATGACCAGCTGTCTGCAAGGAATATAAATCCTGCCATTCCCCTCTATCCTGTCAGAGCTGAACAAACTTCTTGGATGAGAAGCGAAACATCTTCAAAAGAAAAAACAAGAAAGTCCAGTTGTCTCCTGAAAAAAAGCACCTTTGGGACAACCATGACCTGAAAATCTCTATAGACCGATAGGTCTCAATGCCAGAAAGAAAAATCCAGCACAGGCAACTGAATCTGGGCTTGTATTAGAGAAAGGCTGGAGAAAGTCCCAAACTTGTCCTTGAAATCATGGCATCTGTTAAATGAGCCATCTCAGCTGGCCTTTGGGTGAAGGGGTTTCTGCTTCAGTAATGATGTCTCACTGAAGGATTTGGATTATGATGGATTGGTACAAGTCATTTATTTTTCCATAACTCTCTGTGAAAGCTTTAGGATAGAAACTTCACTGTGGGGAATCCAAATTCAAGACAAGGAGGAATTTCCTGACCGTGATCACAATAGCCTGCCTCCGAGAGTTGTACATGTACCATCACAGGATATTTTCAACCAAACTTGAATAGATTATTTGTCTGGGATGGTCTAAGTTTTCCTACCCTGGGAGGACGATGGACTAGATAGAACAGTGTAACTCAAACTTGGCATCTTTTAAGAAGCATAGACTTCACATAGACTTCAATTTCCAGAATTTCCACATGCTGAAGTAGAAGACCTCTGAGTCTTCTGGAGTAGAAGACACCTGAGATCTTCTAACCTTATGAGTCTAGGCATCTCACTTTTTCTCTCAGGACAATGCACATTCTATCTTGTATTAAAGATGTACAGTGCAATTTGCCTTCTTCTGTCATAACAGCTGGGTCTGTAATTGTCTATAATAGGACTGTAATTTTCTGAATCTGGTTTTATATTATTCCTATATATTGATATATTTGAAGCCAGCCAAATATATTGAAGTAACAATTTAAGATTGTAAGATATAAAATATGATGCATCTAATAATGGATAGAACTTCTATCACATTGGTACTTGACACTATCTTCACTTTTTTGACTACCTAAGGATACCTCTAATCTAACAATGTAAAGAATTGAGATTACTGTCTTTTTCATGGCAAACAAATGAAATTAAACCATTGCATTTTCCGCGACCTTTTCCCTGTTTAGCTTTTAACTACCCTTTCTTTTGTCCACAGCTCAATCTGGCCCTCCAAAGTTTATTACCCACCTGGGAATTCACAAGCCGGAGTGTTGTTTTTCTGCCCACATCATATTCATACCCAGCAGTTGGGGCTCCATTGAAACGAAGGACAGCATTATGGGAATCTGAGAAAATGAGAAAATAACAGTAAGAGAGAGTAAAAGCAGGTAGACTCTGTCCCTAGGCCATCCCTTCCTGACCTGGGTTTATTTTACAATAACATTCCCTTCCTCAGAGCAAGATGGGGTTGAGAAAACAGCCACATAACTGGTCTGGCCTGACTTCTCCTTTATTTAATGTCCCTGCTAACCAGGGCTACATTAAAATCTTGGCAGGTCCTGGGACTTGCCATTTCCTTCTTCCTAGGGCTGGGAGAGAGTACTTGGCCAAGGTCACCCAGATGGTTTTTGCACCAAGGTCAGGATTAGAACCTGGGTTTTCTCAATCTTATTTGATCAAGTTAACCACTAGACTAAATTGGCTCTCCCGTGTGTATGCATTGGTGTTATGCATGTGGGGGTGCATTATAATTATTTTTAATATGCTCTTTGTAAACTCACTGTGCTCATTATTCCATTTATAATTCAGTTTTGGCTAACAAACTGGTTGTTAGTCTATCAAGCCAAGATATAGAGCAAAACAGGGGGTGGGCACAATTGTCACTATGTTGTTACTAGTGCATATATATTCTGATTTATATGGTTAATAAGGCATGAGTACCTCTATGGAAGGTGGAATATCTGAGACTCACTCAAAGCAAGCCACAGGGACAGAATGAATTATCCATTAATAATTTCTTGAGGATGGAATGGAACAAATATTTCCAAGATTTTAATGTTTGTGTCAGGAAAAAATATAAAAGCATTATTATTTCTATATCTACAAGAGGTGGTTCTTAAACATGAAGTGGTTCCCATAATGAGAGAATTGATATTTTCAAGTGAACTGGGATGAACCAGTGGTACTCAATGGAAATGTAAAAAGAGACATGAGAAAAATGCTACAGTGAGACTGGCCAAGCCTTACTGGAAGTTATACAAGTGGATGGGAACTGCAATACGTTCAGAACCATCAAATAAGTTAAAATGTTTTGCATGGTGGAACTCAGACCTGGTTTGGCTAGCTAGACATTGCATTGGATAGTTTGCTTAGGGTATCTGTGTGTGAGGCAGTAAAGCTTTTAGAATAGGAAAGGAGCAAGAAAAGTAATAAACCTGCATTTGTGTCTTATGTTGTGAATCTCTGGATAGGTAAAGACAACAATTGGCCCTGTTATACAGACTTTCTCAAAACTGCTAATGTGCCATCTCACCTATAGTTTTTAAGTGTCTCACCAGACTGAATGACTATTTGCTGAAGCTGCTGTCTTCCCTCCTCTGCACACTACAGAATTTGAGACTCTTCCTAATCCATGGGCTGAGTGAGGATGCTTTTAAGATTGTAACTCTCCAAATAAACACACTCCCATCCATCCCTCTCATTTGTTTATTCTGCCCAGAATCGATTATTAATATTCACAACAACTTCAGGAGCTCTACAGTATTGACAATGTGCCAATTTGTATAAACTTGATGTTGTCTGTACATTGAGGATTGTTAATAGAATCTTTTATTTGCTTATATTATTCTGTATCAGGAAAAAAACCTCTTTTCTAAAACTTCCCTCAACATTCTTCTGAGGAAAAATCAGGGACTGCTATCTCTTAACTGGACAGACCTCTTCTAAAGTAACTCTACAACTCTCATGGTATTCACTAGATACTTTTTTTCTTTAAACTTTTTTTCCTGTTTCACTGTTGTTTCTCAGTGGCAGAAAAAACACATTTTTCACTTTATCCCCTTGAAACTAGATGGAGTTTCTTGCAGATTAGCCTGCGGTCGATCTGCAATTAACTAATCTTGCAAATCTTTCACCACCCACAGCCTGTTGGTAGAAAATTGCCAGTGCTGTGAATTCACATCACCCACCCAATGCCCTTGACAGCTTTCAAGCACCTAGAAAGCTCTAATTCTTCCTGATCAGTTTGCAAACATGCTTTTTCCTTCACAGCAAGTTTATACACCCCACAATATAACAGGCAAGAAAATGGTAACACAACACTTGTCCACTTGAATTTGAATCACCAGGACCAGATGGATTACATCACAGAGTTCTGAAAATGCTGGCAAATGTGATCTCGAAGCCATCAAACCATATTTTTCAAAGATCCTGGAGCACCCGGGGAACTACCAGAAGAGAAGACTGGAAAAGAGCTGTGTTGGTTCCCATCTTCAAAAAAAGGGGAAAAATGATTCCAGGAAACTACAAACCAATCAGCCTGACATTTATACTGGGGAAGATCCTGGAAAAGTTAATCAAGCAACAGATCTGCAAAGACCTAGAAGCAAGCAAAGCTATTACAATAAGCCAACATGGGTTTATCAAAAACAGATCATACCAAACAAATCTTATTGCATTTTTTGATACAGTGACTAAATTAGTGGACTAGTGAAATGCTGTCGACATAGTACACATGGACTTCAGTAACACATCTGACAAGGCAGTCCACAACCTACTTATTGGTAAGATAGAAAAATGTGGAATAGACAGCATCACTACTAGGTAGATTCATAACTGGCTGACAAACTGCATTCAATGTGTAGTCCTCAATGGAACTATATCTATATGAAGGAAAGCATGCAGTATCCCAAGGTTTTGTCTTAGGCCCAGTACTCTTCAACATCTTCATAAATGATTTAGATGACAGGATAGAAGGGAATTCATCAAATTTGCAGATAACACCAAGCTAGGAAATAGCCAACACTTTTAAAGATAGGCTCAAGATCCAGAAAGATCTTGACAAACTTGAACACTGGGCCCTAACAAACTCAGTGGTGAGAAATGCAAGGTTTTATACGTAGGCAAGAAAAAACATATGCATAGATACAGAATAGGTGGTACCTGGCTCAACAGCAATAATTGTGAGATGGATCTCTTAGTAGACAACCACTTAAGTATGAGCCAACAATGTGCTGCAGCTGCCAAAAAAGCCAATGCAGTCATAGGCTGCATCAACAGAGGAATATCAAAATCACGTGTCTTAGTTTCACTTTAAAATGCCTTGGTAATACCACACTTGGAATATTGTGTCCTGTTCTGGTTACCATGATACAAAACGAATGTTGGGACTATAGAAGAATGCAGAGAAGAACAGCAAAGATGATTAAGGGTCTAGAGGCTAAAATAGATGACAAACAGCTGCAGGAACTGGACATGTCTAGTTTAACAAAGAGAAGAAGTAGGGATGACACTATAGCAATCTTCCTATATTTGAGAGGCTATCACAAAGAAAAGGGGGACAACCTATTTTCCAAGTACAGGAAGGCAAGACAAGAAATAACAAATAACAAACTTATCAAAGAGTGATCCAAACTAAAACTTTCAACTCTTATATTCTGTATATTTCTCAAACATTTATTCCACTTCTTTTAGGCTGGCAGTCATATGCTGTTTCTATTTTCCCAGTTGGAGTAGCATGATGTATAGCAACATATCCCCTTCAAAAGGCATTGATCCTGGTTTGGGCACCCTTTGCTAGTTGTGGACCTAGTCATATATTTTGAAATATTTTCTATCTCAGAGTTTTGCTCAGATTCCTACTGATGGTGGTGGCAGTATCATAGTTTGAGCCTGTTCTGTACCTCTGAACCAAAATGGCACACCAGTCACCGAACGCAAAGTTTCAAATACTTTTGTCACATGCAAATATGGAGCTTTGGATGATTTCCCTCAATAAGTATGTGAACAGGAATAATGTTTTTATGCATTTATTTAATTGGGTTCTCTTTATCTAGTAGCTTTAGGACTTGTGTTCATATTTACACAGAAATATATTCACAGCCATTGTTAAGCGCTAGGTTCCCTTAATGAAAGAAAGAAACCAATAATCTTAACCAAGATTAGCATATTGTGCAAAAGCTACATAAATCTTTACTTTTTCTGCTATGGGAAGACAATCACAGATTCACCTTAACCAGCTATGTTAAAAGGTCTCAGTACATTGATGAAGAGTTTTAATTACGATAAACTAGTGCTACATTGAAAAATATATAATAGGTTTGATATTTAATCCCGGGGGAGGGGGGAACCTAACTGGAACTGGGAGCACCCAGATAAGAAAGAATAATTCCAAAGACATATGAGAATGACTTTGATCATCCAAATAGCAATAGAAACCTAGAAAGTTCTCTATTCTATGGATAGAACAAGCTAGGAAGGAAAGGTGGGAGATCTAGTATGTATAATATACAATTGTATTCCATGGCTCTTCCATAAAAAAAAATAACATTTTAACACAACCATGAATTATAGCATTTGTTTAAGAATAATATATTTATCATCTGTATGGGGAAGCTTAAGTAGACACCCATCCCATGGGAATATTTGATTTTTCCTTTAACACTCACCAATCTCATTGCCCAATCCTGACCCCAACATGGAGCCAGCTGAGCTCACAACTGCACATGTCTTCAGGTGACCAAGTTCTTCTGCCAAACTCCTCTGAGGCAGCATACCCCTCCATACTGGTTCTGCAAAGGGTCCTTCATCACCTAACACAGTAGACACATTCACACGGCTTTTGAGCTGGCACAAGAGGTCCATCCCAGTTAGGTGCAGGTTGCCTAGGTGCTGCCCAACACCTGAGGGCACCTGAAACTTGTTCATTGATTGATAGGTCTGGAAGACTTGTCGAAGACGAGGGCTCAGTACTTGGGATGAAAGCTTTTTCTGCCATACAGGCCATGGTAAGGGCTGTGCTGGGAGGATGGAATGAGAAACCTTCCTGAGTTGCTGAAATCCAGCAAGTACTTTCTCAAGCTGTTGCCAGAACTTCTTGATTCTGGAGAAGAAGGAATCTTCTGTCAGAGTCTGTGTTGTAATTTCTAAGTTCCGGTTGGCAGATCTAGCAGCTAAGGGAAGCTTCAGAGTGCTGTTTCTTTCTGAGGAATTATGGATTGTTCTTATAAAGTTGGAGGGCACTCCTGAGTCACGGGAGCCCAAATGCAGCATTATCCCTGTCTGTAGACAAACTAAGCTTAGCATAGTCAAACATAGCACAGCAAAACTCATCCAAACACAGTTTGTCCCCCACTTCCAAGGTGGTCGTACACACCATAAGGTATTCCCATACCTGTGGAGAGACAGGCAACACAAGATCAGCCAATTTTGATTAGCATCTGGTTGGTTCTACTACCGCAATATGTAGCACTGGCCGTTTCTATAATGTGGTTTCAATTACAAAATAGATTATGATTAAAAATGACCTGCTAAAGCAGATCAAAAAAAGTTCATCTTATCTGACATTTAATATTCCAATGGCCAATCAGATGGTTCCAGCAAGCTAAGAGTGGAAGAGAAAGTGAAAGTGCCAAAAATTTTAGTGCAGGAACTGTATGTGACACGGCATCATCAATCTAGATTGGATGTAGCCAAAGAAAACTCTTGTTCCTCCTCTTTTGTGCATGTTTTGAGAATTTAGAGAAATAAGATACAAAATGGATGTCAACGGCCTCACAGATACTTAAGGTACATACTTCACTTCCACCAAAAACACAGCACTAGGATCTGCTCACCTTTGGTGTATAAACCTCTACATTCAATGCAAAACCTAGAGTGGTCTTTGAACCAGCAGATATATGGCTCACCTCTAGCATGAATGCAACTACCTTCCTTGATTGATTTCCTGGAATTATGCTTCCTATATGAACAGGTTGGTTCCAGTTTACTAAAATGACTAGATTTGGATATTTAGTATACTTTGGAACACATTCTATATGTCTGAGAGGAAAGAAATGGCTCCAAACTGTATGGTTTGAAATGAAGATTTTTCATGAAGAACTGGACCCATTTCATATTCCTACTGTTGCAGCATGCTGGAAACAGGAATACCACAGGAGGCATACTAAAAATGATTCCCTCCTCCCCCATTCCATTGTTTGTGTGAAATGCATGCTAGACAAAGATTGCTTTGGCCAACAGGACTGATCATAAAGAAGAAGCGGGAGAACAAGCCTCCAATTTTGAGTGTCAAAAATTATTTGCCTATGACAAATCTTCCTAGATTTAGACAGGGGTCGGCAACCCGCGGCTCTGGAGCCACATGTGGCTCTTTCACCCCTCTGCTGAGGCTCCCTGTCATTCAAAATATGTGTCATCACCGCCAATGGGCAATGCCCACTGGCACACGATTTATTGAGCTTTTTGACCCCTGGTAAGCCAACCATGGATAAATCCAAAAAAAGTTTCAGAAGAAAATAAAACATGTAATTGTATGTGGGCAGATTCATTCAGGAAAAAAACCCAAATATTAACCCTCCAGTACACACAATAAAAGGATGAAGGCACACAGAAGCGGATGACATTTTGGTTTGCTGAAGGTGGATAATTTAAGTTCAGCTTTTTATTTCATAAATATGAGGACTCAAATAGACATTGAGTATTTTATTTGAAAGTAACTTTCAACCCAGCATCTTTTTTTTCGGAGTTCAAAATGTTTTTGCTGCATGCAGAAATAAAAATTTGTTTTCTCACTTATTTTTTGTTCACTTATTTTTTTATACATAGCATAAAGGTAAAAAAAAATGATACATGCAGTGTTATCTTCATTTTAGATGTCAAAAGGGTTTTGTGGCTCCCAGTGTTTTCTTTTCTGTGGGAAAGGGGTCTAAATGGCTCTTTGAGTGTTTAAGGTTGCCGGCCCCTGATTTAGACATTTAGACATTTGCAGATGGATTTGAGATTGGAGTTCCAGACATTAAACATCGCACTCCAGGTGCCGTTGTGGGAGAAGAATTTTATCCTTCTGTTCCTTCTTGCAAAGGATCATCCCATTCCCCTTGAACATTTTTTTCACCACTAGTGGGGAGGGCCTGTGCATCCTCAGGAGTTATGTCAGAAGATTCAAACGAAAGAATGGAACTGGTAGAAAAGTCCCCATCATGACTGAAGCTTCCTTTTTAAAGGAAATCATTGTTTCAAAAAGGAAATGAATCAAAAGGTACAACCTATGTCTTGGTCTTCTATTTATGAAATGGAAAGCCCCTGCTCTTGTGGCATTTTGATCATTGTAGATAGTTATGTGGTTGATAAATTAGATATTTTTTTTTTCACCGCCAAGGGTGATCAGAATTGAACACATATTTCAGTTAGCACTTTGAGCATACAGACGTTTGTTCTTATTCCTAGGTCCTGTCTGACATGGTGTAATCAAAAACATACATAATGACCGAGTTTACACGAAACAAAACAAAACTAAAATGAGGGTATGTGTTTCGTTTTAGTTAAATCTCACTTAATGTGAGGTTTCTTAATGTGTTGTGGAAATCAGATCATCTATTAAACTGTAGCAGGTCTATTTGGATCAGGGCTAGCTATAAATTACTGTTAAATAAATATATAAACGAAGGCTGCAGGTGGAAATACCATGCTGTTTGAACACAACCATATTGTTAAAACAGGGGCTTTGCAGTGTTGCGTGAATCCACTCATGGTTCAGAAATATTCACTATGGCTTTTGCAAAGGACCAATCTTTTCTCATGAATCACTGGAGGTGGTGTGATTTGTTTGCTTTTGTGTGTGTATGTAAAATGTTAACAACTATGTGAGGTTGTCTGGTAGCCGTAATGTACCAGAACATATAGAATGGAATGGAATGGAATAGAATAGAATAGAATCTGGAAGGGACTTTAGAGGTCTTCTAGTCCAGCCCCCTGCTCAAGCAGAAGGGCCATTTCAGACAAGTGACTGTCCAGTCTCTTCTTTAAAACCTCCAGTGATGGAAGCACCCACGATTTCTGAAGGCAAACTGTTCCATTGGTTAATTGTCCTCACTATGAGGAAGTTTATCATTAATTCAAGGTTGCTTCTCTCTTTGATTAGTTTCCAACCACTGTTTCTTGTCCTGCCCTCTGGTGCTTCAGAGAATAATTTGACCCCTCTCTTCTTTGTGGCAGCCCCTCAAATATTGCAAGAGCACTATCATGTCACCCCTAATCCTTTTTTTCCCCTCTAGACTAGCCAAACCCAAATCCTGCAGCCCTTCTTCCTGTTTTTAGTCTCCAGGCCTTTGATCATTTTAGTTGCTCTTCTCTGAACTAGTTCCAAAATCTCAAACATCTTTTTTTTTTTGTAGTACAGTGACCAAAATTGGTTGCAGTAGTCCAGGTGTGGTCTTACTAGGGCTTTATAAAGCGGTACTAATACTACACCTGATCTTGTCCAAAACGCTTTTGGCATTCCCGTTCCACCCCTCCTCCCCTCCCTTCCCCTCGAGGATTTTGACCAAGAAAAGTCACGGAATAAGAGGAGGGAGAGCAGGCTAAAGGGCGCGAAGCTGAAACTAGGATCAGATGCGAGGCCCTTGGATGGTGAGATGGAAACAGCAAGTGCCCTTTGAGGCGGGATGCGAAGGCTCGAAGGGATCGCCTGCAACGGGGGTGGGCTGGGTTAGGGATCGCCTCTCCCCTCCCCACCCCCGCACCTTATTCTTCTTGCTCTCGGCAAGTCCCGGCCCAGAAGGATTTGGGGGGGGGGGCGCGGCCGGGAGGTTTTCTCTCCGAGGAGTTGCTGCACCAGGCTTGTCCCCTCCGGAGTTTGGGGTGGGGAATAGAGACGCAGCCTGTCCTTGTTGGGATGCAGCAGAGGTGGGGTTCGTTGCAGAAGTTCTCAGTCCCAAGCCAGCACTCTTACAGCCCGGTTTCCTTCGGGAACCGTCTCTGGTCCTCCACCTCAGGAAAGCCCTAACCCGGCCACCGGCCACCGGCCACCGGCAGCCGGATAACCGCGCCCAACGCTTCTATTTCGGAGACGGAGAGAGAGGCCATCAGCGCACAGGAGACGGCAAGGAGAAGCACCTTCCCTCCGGGCCCAGGCAAACGCTCCCGCCAGGTCCTGCTGGCACCCCATGTTGCTCAGGCGGCTATAGGGACCCTCTGGAAGGTCTCTAGGCTGCAGGGACAAGAAATGGGCTGCTGGCCTCCTCCTGGTCCTTTGGGTTTTGCTCCTCTCTCTCCTAGGGTCTCCAGGAGTTCCCCTTGTTGAGGTAGGGGGCAGTCAACAGTATCTAGCTCTAAGGCTTACCTTCTCCGTATCAGCATCTCTCCTTAGTGGCTCTAAACCGCAATGTGTCCAGAGGGAACGTTTCTGGGTCGCAAGGAGGTACACTACCAGGAGACAAGTGGCGCTACCGAGAGCCAGCTGCTCTCCTCTCTGGCCCTGCAAAGTCACCCAGGATGTCAGCTGGATCGCCACTTCTACCAGGAGCAAGCAGCATCTAAAGAGGAGGGTGAGCTCCGAGCTTTGTGGGTTGTGAATGTTTCATTACCGGGCTGGGCAATATCTTCGGAGTTTAGGTGATGTCTTCCGTTTATAAGGGCTTCATGTGGTCAGTAGGTCTTGGGATGGGTCAGGTGTGGGTGTGTCAAGTGACGGTCTAGGGATGAGTCTTGTGGTGGGTCAGGTGTGAGTCGTCAGGTTACAGTTTTGGGGTGGATCTTGTGATGGGGAGGTTTACATCAGAAGAAGGGCTGGTGGGGAGGGCTTGCCTGGATTTGGTTGAGTGCCAGTGATGTCTCTGGTTAGCTGTGTGGTTGATTTGGAGTCCTGGGGGGGAGGGGTCGTAGGGTGGTTGTAGGTCTATGTGTCCGTTGGTGGAATTGCTTGTGGAGTGCCAGGCTTTGATGAACTCACGAGTGTGGCGGGTGGTAACGTAGCCAATGGTTTTTGTGTTGCTCCAATCGAACTGGTGCTGTTTGGTGTCGGTGTGGGTAGAGATAAAGGATTTGGGATCATGGCATTTGACTGTCAGTCAATGTTTGTGGATCATGTTTTTAACTGACGTGATGTTTGTCCCACATAGAACTGGTTGCATTGGTTACAGTTGATTTTGTAGAAACGTTTCTTTTATCCTTTTATCCTATTCTTGTCTTTGGTTCTGGATAATGACTGGCGGAGTGTGAGTGTAGGCCATTGCTATTCTGAGAGGTTGGAGAATTCTGGCTCTCATTTCCTA